CATTTGAGGACAATTGCCAAATGGTTGTCGTTCAAGTACCTTACCCCCAAACACACCATGACATCGGTTGGACTACTACTAGGATTGGCAGCTTCGTTCATGGGCACAATGGACACACTTGTCACACGACTGCTGTCTGTACACGTCACTAGAATGTTGCCAGCGGGAGCAGCAGAACTGAATCTCTCCCCATACACGCAGACTACAGGTCTGATGGGTATCGGCTTGCTTTACTACAATACTCAGCACCGTCGCATGAGCGAGGTTATGCTTTCGGAGATTGAGCATGTGGAGGTACCAGATCCCTCCGAACCGCCAGATTCTCTGCGCGATGAAGCCTATAGGTTGTCTGCCGGCTTTGCACTCGGCTTCATCAACTTGGGCAAGGGAAAAGACCTCCGAGGTCTTCACGATATGCGCATTGTTGAGCGCCTCATGACTGTCGCTGTCTCACCCAAGCCAGTAAATGTCGTACACATCCTCGACCAAGCGACTGCCGGAGCAGTCATCGCAGTGGCCCTGATTTTCATGAAAACCCACGACCAAAGCGTAGCCCGCAAGATCGACATCCCAGATACGCTGCCACAATTCGATTATGTTCGCCCTGACATCTTCCTGCTCCGCACCTTGGCGAAACACCTCATCATGTGGGATAACATCGAAGCATCAGATTCGTGGATCATCAGAAACCTTCCCTTTGAGTACCGCGAGGCCTTTGATCTTAAGGGAATCGCACGCCTACGAAGCGAACAGATGCCGTTTTACAACATTCTTGCCGGTCTGTTGTGGAGTGTCAGTCTCAAACACGCTGGTACTGGAGATACTCAAGTACGCGATTTCCTGATCAAGTATCTGGATCAGTTCATTCGAATCAACAAGCTGCCGGCTGTGCGATATGATTCCAAGTTATCCAAGAACACAGTACGGAACTGCCAGGATCTCATTGCCCTAGCAGCCGCCACCGTTATGGCAGGCACAGGCGACCTTGACGTTTTCCGTCGCCTTCGCGGTTTACATGGCCGAATCGGACCAGACGTCCCCTACGGCTCCCACCTCGCAGCCCACATGGCCTTCGGCACCCTCTTCATTGCTGGCGGCACGCAAACCTTCAGCCGTAGCAACAAAGCAATTGCCAGTCTCATCTGCGCCTTCTACCCCATCTTCCCCTCAGACGTCCAAGACTCAAAAGCCCACCTCCAAGCCTTCCGCCACTTCTGGGTCCTAGCAGCCGAACCCCGCTGCCTCGTCGTCCGCGACGTAGACATCGGCCGCGCAATCTCAATGCCTATTACCATCCACTTCAAATCCCGTCTTCCCGACGGCTCGAAGACGAAGAACCTCGTTGCCCCTTGTCTCTTACCCGAGCTGCCCCTGATCAGCAAGTTGGAAACGGCAGATCAGAGTTACTGGCCTACGACTCTCGATTTCTTGAATAACGCAACGCATCTGGCGGCTTTTGAACGCAATCAAACGCTCCATGTGCGGAGGCGCTCCGCGCACGATACGTATGCTACAGCGTTTAGTTCTACGCTTGTAGCACTCAATGATGCCCAGTCTTCGCGGACATCGCAGCTTCTCTTCCATTGGCTTTTTACACTGCCGTCTTTGTCGAACTTCGTCAGCGCCTCCGATGCTGGTCTGATTCTGCCGTTGGATCAGCATTCCAAATCTTGGCTCGATCCCGGGGCTACGGTTGTGGAGTCACGACTTGTGCTCGCGCGGCTTGCGGGGAGCGAGAAGGTGGAGGAATTGAGGGTGCTGAGGGGGGTGTTTGAGTGGGCGCTTGCGGCTTGTAGGAGGGATGGCAAGTTGAGGTGGCTTGGGAGAGAGGTTGTGGAACGGATCAAAGCCGGGGTTATGGATCGGGCGAGGCAGATGGGTGGTGGGTGATGGAGACTGTGGATGCGTGTGGGACCTAGGATTGGGAAAACGAATATGTAACATCTGAATTGATACCTTTTTAGTCGTGATCAAACTGGATGATGAACATAAATGTGAACTTATATCTTTTTTTGACAGGTCGTGTACTCTCGCTATCCATATAATTTCTCCATGCTACACTGAAATCACAACACTCTATCCGCAGGGCCTTTAGAAAGAAAACATAAGAAAATCTCGACTCTTCCCATCTACAATGTCAAGGGCGCGATCCATTCGCACTTTGGCGGTGTAAGCGGAATATCCTCGTCATCGTTGAACCGACCGAGCTGGGCAACACGCTTGTAGATCTCTTCCAGCATCTTTCCTTGCTCGCCCTCATACTCTTCGGGCTTGCCTTCCTTGTAGCGGTCCTTGGCATCGATGGGTTTGCCATCGGGCGTGACACCAGGTACATGTGGACGCCCTGCTGAAGCGGGCTGTGTAGCAGGGGCTTGCTGTTGTGCTGGCTGGTTGGGCGTAGTCATATTAGCAGTAGGCTGGGTGGCAAAGGGTGAAGGTGTGCTAGCTGGGGCTGCAGATTTCTGTGCTGTGGAGAAGGGGTTGGCTGGCTGTGATTGTGTTGCGGCAGGTTGTGTGGGCTGAGTGCCAAAAGGTGAGGGTTTGCTTGGCTGGCCGAACGCTGGGGTTTGTGATGCAGCGGCGCTGGGAAACGGACTGGGCTGTGCAGGTGTCTGCTGCGTTTGTCCAAACGGACTTGGATTCTGTGATTGTTGGGCTTGTTGGCCGAACGGCGAAGGCTGAGGTGTCTGCTGAGCTTGTTGGCCAAAAGGTGAAGGACCCGACTGTGCTGCTTGCCCGAAAGGAGACGTCCCAGACTGTGCTGTCTGGCCGAATGGCGATGCACCGGATTGTGCCGCTTGAGCAAAAGGAGAGGCATTAGCGCCGGGTTGCGCAGGCTGGCCAAATCCGCTTTGTCCAAAGCCTGGTTTACTGAAGGGATTCGGCTTCTGCCCTAGAGCATTCGTCTGCCCGAACCCAGATGCCGCGCCTGGTGTTGATGGCTTCCCGAAAGCAGAGCCTGCACCCAAGCTACTGGCTTGTCCAAATGCGCTCCCTGCACCGGGCATAGACGGTTGCCCAAATCCAGAGGCGCCAAAGGCGGGTTTCCCAAATGCACTGCCACCACTACCCAAAGCTGAAGGCTGACCAAATGGTGATGGCTTTTGACCAAGTGCTGAGGCGGCACCAAAGGCTGAGGATGTCTGGCCTGTGTTCGATGCTTGACCAAACGGTGACGCAGTTTGGCCCGGGGTTGAAGCCTGACCGAAAGCTGAGGTAGTTTGACCGGGATTTGAAGGCTGACCAAAAGCGGATGTGGTTTGTGCTGGGTTTGACGGCTGGCCAAAAGCTGGTTTGCCGAAGGCTGGTGTTGAAGTCTGTCCGAACGCCGATCCTTGAGAGGCTGCTGCTGTCTGGAATGGGTTTCCAGGTGCTTTCATAAACGGATTAGAGGCTGCGGCTGAAGATGTATTTGCAGCGTTGGTTGAGTCACTTGCACTAGCGTTGCCTTTGGCAATGTCAATCCGATTCGGATGAACATTGGCGCCTTCTTCTATATACCGGATAGCACCAGGTATGTCATCGAGGATTGCCTTCACTTGCTGCTGCATCTTTTCATTGAGAGCAGATTCTTCTTGTTGCTATGATCGGTTAGTTTCTAAAAGAATCAGTCTCAGTTGCTAAGACTCACCGCTTGGGGCTCATTGCCAGCTGTGCGTAAAGTATAATACCGCAGACGAAGCTCTTCTGGGCTGATCTCGACTGGTCCCTCGATAAGCTGGCGAGGAGCCTCACGTCCTGGGCCATAGCAAGACAGCGGATAGATTGGCCGTTGGGTGGTGAGGTCGTTCTTCATGTCGTCCCGATCCAGATGGAAGCTTGGCGATTTAGCATCACGGTTACCTGTATTGGGTGAGTATGAATTCAACAAATAATCGAAATTACTCGGAGCCATAGAGTAGGGTACTCTGAGCGATCGACAGGGTCTTGCATACCCCCAAATGTGTTGGAACTGCCATTTTGGCCAGGACGATAGCGATCCCCGTTGAAGGCGCCAAAGCGGTTGTTGTTTGAACCGCCAAAGGCACTTCCCCCACGGTTCGCATCTCGCGAACTTCCGGGGTGTTCATTTTTGCAGGAATCTGATTGATGTGAGTGTGGTGTACCAATGGGATGGCTGGCGGTCTACCTCCAAACTTGCATGCGCCTCGCTGATAGTACGTGCAGACGCCCATGTTACCAAATAGGCAATTTGAGCCTTGCTGAAACTGATAGATAGAATTTCAAATGAGCTGTGGGGAATCAGTAGGGTCTAGAAAAGATGACGTGACGTTGGAAAGTATGGACGAAAGAAGAAAGCGGTGTCTGAGCGGCTGAACCCGACCGAGGCTGGGGTGAACGGAAACTTCAGAGCGAACGGACGCGACGCGCCAACCAATCAACGCGAACAACGCAGCGTGCTATCCTTGGTGCGCTGTGGACAGGCGCCAAAAGGCGCCGCACAGATGTCACTGTATGTGTAGGATTTGGTGGTTGTTGTTGTTGTTGCCTGCTAAGCAGCCTTTCGGCCGTCTCTGTCCATTTGAAGTAATGTGTGCTTGGTAGATGGCAGTAACCAGCGATAAAAGGCTGGTGTAAACAGTAGGAAATACGCTGTGCGAGTTTTTGGTGCATGATATGTTACCTACCTTGTCTCAAAGGCGGCCCAGTCAGCCACAAGTCGAGTTATTCAGACGTTCTAGCAGATTTATCGTGTTGGTGTATTTAGCTACGTGTGATGCTGATGCCATTGAGAGCAGAGCGCGACAGGTATACGCTAGTACGCATCTGAAGCTAGTGCATCGTCCCGAACATGCGGGCCTTCCACGTACGCCACCATTGAGGGTGTTATGGATTGCGGCCAGGATGCGTTTTGCGCAATGTACATGCAACTTCAACCTCTCGCTCTGCTGTCCCGTTGCCAAATCTACCAAGACAATTGCCCTAGGCTCGCTCGCTAGCCCACAACATCCAACGCCGACTCAACTTGTCCTAAAGCACTACTTAGCATGACGGGGTAGATGCACGCCTTCTCTATTCTTACCATTGGCATCTTCGTCGCGGGATACTCGACTGCCCGTTGGGACCTTGTGACCCGTGTGTACGAGCTCACCATATTCGCCTGGGACCACGGCGTCGTGACCAGAACTGCAAAGGGGTTCGCCTTGCTGTCCCTGTTGTTTTTCCTCTTCATACTGCCCGTGGTGCGCATCGCGGCCCAGGAGACAGATCTGGTCAGTAGGGCATGTACAAGTCTTCACATGGCTGGTTGACTAAATACTTGTAGCATCCCAGACTTGCAGGCACAGGAATATCTGCGCGCGAGCAGCTCAAACGTCGTGGTTCTTTCTAGCGAGATAGCAGGATGAGGACATGGTCACGCACAATGGCTTGATGCGCATATTTTGGCCATCAGATGTTCCAAACGATTCGGCGCCAGGGGTTCTAGTCGGATTCGAGAACTCCAAGACTGATGTCTTCGTGGTAGCCGTTCTGCAGGATGTGGATTTACGCCAGGTGGAAAATGCGCTACTTGTAGGGACATTGCTGCGACATAGCCCACATGATATCCAAGAACTGCTGCAACGATGCGGCCATTCAGCGCTTCGCGCTGTTGGCTGCGTAAACCCAAAGAGCCCACCAGATGCATGTGGCGCCGAACCCCTCACAGTGCACACCAATCCTTCGACCCGCTTTCCACGCATCCACTACCCAGCCGACACGCTCATGGCCATTCAAGTCATCGTATACGACCGACCGCACCCGACGCGCATGCAATATCTCTCGCTGAACCCTATCACACTAGCACTGGGAGACAAAACACGGGTGGCTGAGTGGGATGGGGTGTTTGCTGACCTCGAAGAGGCAGAGGCAAAGGAGCGGAAGAGGAAGGCACAGCTTGTCGAGCGGTTGAAGCTTCACACAGTCCTTGCGCATCCGCCCACACAAAAGGAGCTGGCACTGCCAATGATCATCGAACAGGTTAATTGCTCCTATGAGCTCAATGCTCTCCTGCAAAAGAATATTGGCATGATTGGCAGGCGCATGAAGCGGGCACTGAGTGTCAGTGAGCGCGTGGCCGAGTCTGCCAACAACCTCTGGGACTATGCCTGGATGATGCTCGACTACTTATTCAGAGTCTGGGTCTGGCCTATAGCTGCACAGCTCTTCATATTCGGCATCATCACGCACCGCATACTGGGAGAGGCAATGATCATGATCCTGCACTGGCGACCTGGTGCTTCCGACTCACCGGCCCTGAAGGACCTATCTGCAACAGCACAGCAAATCGACATTCGACTGCAGCAATCATGTTACTGGCCTATTCAGTACCTTACCTTGCGGAGGAGGAAAGCCAATTGGGAGAGCATTACCAACAGCCATCCAGAGTACATTCGATTCTACAACAGTCTGTGGTTGGTTGCAAACGATGTCATCATGGGTATAGCTGTAGGAACCTTCATCATCGAGAATGCGTCATTCGTGGCAGCACAAGTAGATACTATATTCAGTGCATGGTCGGTCGAGGGGCTGCGGCGCATGATATCATGGCTCATGGGGTGGCCAGGAGGCTTGAAGCTCAACACCGAGCTGGCAGCCTTCTTGGGTGACCTGTTCCTTTGGGTCATTGACTACTGGGCTAGTAAGTGCATGCCACCGGCGTGTAGAGTGTCACTAACGGAATAATCTACAGACTGTATATCGCTCCTGCGACCCCATCTGCCTGCACTCATCCAGATCATTGGCTACTCCTCCTTTGCCGGCGCCACTATGCCCATATCAATCTTCTCGGATCTCGTCTCCCTGCTCACCGTGCACATCTACTCCTTCTACGTTGCATCTGCTCGTATCTTCCACTGGCAGCTCACCATTATCATTTCTCTCTTCCATCTATTCCGTGGCAAGAAGCGCAACATTCTCCGCAACCGAATCGATTCATGCGACTACGACTTGGATCAGCTACTCCTTGGTACGATCTTGTTCACACTGCAGTTTTTTCTCCTGCCGACTGTGTTCGTCTTCTACCTGACGTTCGCCAGTGCGCGTATCGCTGTGATTGGGCTCAAAGCAAGCCTCGAGATGGGACTTGCATGTCTCAACCATTTCCCTCTGTTTGCAGTCATGTTGCGGCTCAAGGATCCAGGACGCTTGCCGGGAGGGATATGCTTCGAGTTGCAAGATACGGGCAATATGTCGGTCGATCAACAAAATGCGTCTGGCTTTGCGCCAACTGCCTACGTGCTGCTCAAGGTAAGTCTTTTGTCTACCGTCTTGTCATCTCTATACTTACAAATAACAGTCTGTACCGTTGTCACTCCGCGCAATGTTTCAACCATACTTTGATCTTGGCGACCGCATACGGAAACACTACTTCTCGCCTAGCGTGTTGCTCTACCTAGTGTCGGGTCAGTTTGTGCCACCAATCCACCGTCGCAACCTGTACAGTCTTCAGTATAGCATGTTGCCAGCGAAAAGGGCAGGCATAGGTGAGCTTTGGAGGAAGTTGACGGAGCGGGACCGGCAGCCTTCGCGTTCATCGAGTAGCTACCCCCCTATATCGTTCAGAAGAGGTATACCAAATGGTAAAAGTAGAAAATTGATATAGTTTCTTATACTATCTGCTCTGAACTTCTTCCGTCTCTATACATAATTGTTGTTTTTGTGCATTCTATAGTATCTTCTCACCTGTCTTTCCGTCTCCGCGCTTAGGCAGTGTCACTATGCAGCGTTATTGTTTAGTTAACAAACAATCACAACGTCATCCGCCACAGCACCCACGCACAATGCACACACACACTTCCACACCTTTCACTCCACCAGCTCAAACAAACAAATAAAAAAAAACTCTAAAAAAACAATCTCGCCCCTCTCCCCCCGGCATCTGCTGACCGACGCCCGTCCCTGTATTCGAACGGCACGCCCCCCTAGCGACAGCCCATGTATGTGTGTAAATCCCTTAACTCTTTTTCTTTTATTTCTATTTCTATTTATGTTTTTTTCTTAAGGTATCTTTCTAGAAACGCATTCGAGTGCGTTGGTTTGACCTCTTTTGTGTAGTTTGCCCATTACCTCGATGTTTTTGTTAAGCTAGGAGCCCACCCGTTCCGCCAAGGAGAGAGAGAGAGAGAGAGAGAGAGAGGAGATGGCTTTTTGTTTGATGGGGGGATGGGGGATTGAGGGGGTTATATGGGAGGGCGAAGTGAGGGGGGTAGAGAGGTGAGAGGCGCAGGGTGAGTGGGCAAACGGGGGGGTGAAAGCGGGTGCGGGGTTTAGTTGCATGTGATGGTTGGGGTGATTTCACCTTTGAGGGGGATAAGGTTTGCTGGGGCGATAGTGTTAAGGGGTCTGGTGTGTTGGAGGTGATTTGGATGGTATGGAGGTACTGGCTGAAGTGACTTACTTGGTCGGGTGAGTTTAAGATGGGAAGGAACGAAATGGGCAGAATTACTTCAAGTGAGATTATGTACATTCAAGAGCTGATGCGGAATCTGTGGTATGTATGACACGTAATGTAGGTGCGGTCATAGCATGAGGAAGTCGTGACTACTTGGTTAAGAATGATGTTGACTTCGCCTATCACTCTACACCTGACACCACTCAACAAGCTTCATACCACTATTCTTTCCTTCAACGATGACCATAAATCTTTGAAGGTACTTTAGGTGTGTCGATGCCCTTTTAGTGACCCTTACGAACCAGCAAGCTTCCATCTGTCCACACCCTTACAATCATTGTTGCTGGAACACCATGACTGCAGCGCCCCGCCGAGTATGTGTGTTTGCCCCGAATCTTTTCGCAGCATACTATCAAAAGTTGGGTAAGGAAGAAGGAGCTCAGTCTATCAATCAGGAAATGAATGCAATGTGCTCCGAAATACTTCACTCCAATGTATGCAGAAGGTCGATAGCCAACCACTTTACGATTCACAATGGATTACTTCCAACAAACCCGTACTATCCCAAAGTTTCTCGTCGACACGGCTGTGGTAACCAATCGAGCGACTAGTGGACTGCTACCCTTTGGCTTGCGCTCTGAGTCGAATATATACCATTCAAGGAAGTGGCGAGGGACAAAGGATAAGAGGCAGAAAGATATAAATCACTGAGCACAAGAGAAAGATATATATGAGAACGTGGTGTGAATCACCTCTAACGTCGTATGTTTTGTAGGATATCAATGGGGACAAAGAGTCCCAACAACCATAAAAGATCGTAACTATACGTCGCTGACACAATTTCGCTGAGGCCCCTCAAGCTACACATAGCTTTCTCTTTCGAACCAACAGAAGCCACCGCAAGATTGTATGGCAAAAGAAGCAAGGTACCTCCTTATTCCATTAGACAGAATCGGCGCTACGTGCCAGAGAGACAAACTGGCAAAAGCAGCCCATTCTTTAAAGACCCAAAACGCCCGATTCCGATTACTACTACTAGCAAGACACAAACGAGGCACCATCGTCACCCGGCGGTTGCGGCCAATCTGGCGGTTTGGGAGTTTTACTCGGTGGCTCGTCGGGGCGGGGTTTACGACCCCAAACAACGTAACTAGCAAAGATCAGCTCTGAGCTCGCAGCAAAAACCGTGCACATCTGGCAAACTTACACTTTGTAATAGGCGTGTATGGTCTTGTCTGTGAGGGCAGTTCGCAGGTGTGCAAGGTAGACCTCGACCTCTGCGGGCGACCATCCGAGAGCAGTGACAAAGAATTCAATTGACCACGCGTGCACGCCGGCGCACAGATTCCAGTAAAACCACTTTCCGAGGACCTTCATGCGTTCGTCTTTTGGCCATGAATTGACGGGAATAGCGAATATTTCCTCGTGCACGTCGACGAAGCCTGCTTGCTCGTACCATCGCTTCAGTTTGTTGGCGATGCGTAGGGGCCGGCCTAGGCGCATAGCTGCATCGTCTTGGGTGGCTGTCCAGTCTAGGAGCGCGTAGTCGGCAGGCATTGTACCATCGTTGCAATATATTTTGGGATAGAGCTCCTGAGATTCCATCCATCCTCCAGGGTTGAGGTTGTTGAAGCCTTTTTGGATGATTTCGCGAAAGTCGTGGAAGATGCCGAGCGACATACGTGTGTGGATGTAATCGTACGGCTGCGTGCAGCGCCACCATTCCGGCCGAGTAATATCGTCCATGAAGAAGTCGACATTTTCGCAGGAGCTGAACTTGTTAGCGAGGGTTGCTTAGACCGGCATGTGTGGCTTACATCTTGGGCTGGATCGGAGACAAGTCAATGCCTTCCACCTATTCCTTTTGTTAGGTGTGCCGCAGAAGAAAATATGAGGGACGTACCCGGCACTTTGGGAACTCGTTCGCTATCATTCGTTAGCGTTCTTGCTGGCACTACCTCGGCGCTCTACGTACCCATTTCGAAGCACCACTTGCCGGTGCCACAGCCAATGTCGAGCATCCTCTTGGGCCGCTTGAGTTTCAATGGGGCGAGGTAATTCCTCTGGTGAAACAGAGCTGTGAGGATGACATGTTGCATGTCCAGACGCTCTATCTCAGGCTGGGTATCAGCTAGTCAGTGACCGAAAAAAAACGTGGTGTGTGTGCCAGGGCTGGGGCAGCTACACGTACCGCGTCGTTGGGAAAAGGGTAGGCTAGGGCACATTAGCTGGGAGGGTCAGTGAAGGAGTCGCGCGGCGTTGCTTACCGCCAGCCTGGTATCCGTGGTATGTCCTGCCATACTTCTTGACGTAGTCGAAGATGCTTGGCGTGAGACTTTGGATCTCGCTGTGGCGAGTGAGTTTAAAGAAAGGATTTGAGAGCAGCAGAGCAGAGCACATACGAGTTGTCGTAACCCTCTTGTTGCGGATCCGACTAGAGGTCCCGATTAGCTGGCAGTGCTTGTCGCAGGCCTGGCGGCGCGGCGGGGGAGGCCGGGTGTTTGACATACATCAGGCTCCAGGGTCGAGTGCGTGATGTCGGTGAGGTCCGTGGCACTGGACAGCGGACGCAGCGGCCTCTCCTTGCGCAGGTGGTCGGGCACAGAGGTCGCCATGTTGGCGGATTGCGATGCGCTCCAGGAGCGCTATTTGACTCTGGCTGAGTCGTGTCGAGGAGGAGGCGAAACCCAGCGGAGCGGCATGTCGTTCCCAATGCCAGGGCCTTGGGGGCGCCCGTCACGCCGACGGCCACACCAGGGCGGGACCATCCTGCGCTAGGCGTGGGCTAGCGAACCCCGCAATTCACCGAACCTCCACCGCCCATCTGCCACCTGTTGGACTGACCCACCATCATCTCCAAACCGCCGAATGACATCCCCACGAGTGCGCCGCACGCTGCCAGCTACCGCCGCCGCGGCTTTTGCATTGCGTCGTCTCATCCGAGCGAGTGGGTGACAACTCGCCAGGCCCTCGGGTGCGCCCTCTAGACACGCCTTGCATGTCTTCACTGTCCCCCTCTGCAAGGGATATGCCTTGCTCTCGACGTGCTGCTTGGCCATTTGCGCATCTTGCGGTCTGGCCCAGTTTTGCGGCAGGAGCCTGTTCCGCCTGGATGCCGCTCGAGGTACCCATCTGCATCTCTAGCGCTGCTGCAACAATCTTTCTTCACCGGCCGCCGCCCTGCTTGCTGCATGCCGGCACCTCGACAATTCCTACTACTTCTCCGTCCCCACCGTGGTCAGTGTTGTCGTCACGGCCATTCATCCACGTGGGTCATCCAGCGACTCGGCGTCTTCGGCGATGCAGTGACACGGTTGCACTCAAAAGATCCCCCGTCGGCGCTGCATCCGGAGCATCGGGTCGACAAAAGGACGGTGCCAAAGCATGTCATCCGGGCTGAATGCCAAGCGGAACGCGTCACGATAGTCAACCTTTTTTCAGGTCCTTGATACATTCGTGACAGCAATCGGAACTTCAAAACCATGACTCTTTCTCACCCGAAGCAGCATCTTTCCAAAGTGCACCAAATCACAATATTTTGAATTGACAGCAATTAGGCTCCTGTGCAAGGGGAATTGCAGCGAGGCTTCACGTCCAAGAACGTCTTTTTGAGTTCAATGCCATGCACCGAGCCTTTAGAGTTTACGCTGCGCACCTCGGCAGCCGACCCTGCATGCAAATGCAGCGCCACTGGTATAGTACGTGGTATAGAACACCACGTTAAGTATTTGTCATGCTCACCAAATGAGTGAGGGTCCGACGAGGTCCATGCCTTCCTCATTCAGAAAATTTTACCCGTTTTCATTTTCGCTATCTTTACTTTAAGCAGTGTCGGTCCCTCGTCGGCATTAAACTTGCATCAACAGAAAACCAAATGGCCCACCGGGTTTTCTTGGACGTATCAAGCCTCTTAGAGAAGGTTTTGAAAATTACGCAGTTGCAAATCAAGAGTAGCTTTATCCTATGAAAATTGCAACAGAACTGCTGCATTTTGCTCAAGCTCGGAGTTCGATATACAACTTGGGCATCGACTGCCACGATGTTGCCTGCTATCACGCACGGTTTATTCTAGCATTTCCAAGCAGAACTGAAAGCAACCTCATTTACTTGGGATTCGGATGTGATAGATGCATGGATTGATTGAGTCTCACTTGTAATTCAATGGCTCTCAAACATTGGGTGTCTATCCTTTTTTAGGCTTGGAGACACGGATTTTCCAGATGGCGCTCTCACCTTGAACGTTGTCTCTCACTGTGCAGCCCGTCACTCACTACACTGCAGCTGTATATCTGAGGCGTCAAATCAGCATTGCTATTGAAACAATTTCTTGAACGGTCCCAAATAAGATACTGCTCATCATCACAAGAGCCAGTTATTACACACACCTGCCAAGCCTGAGTACCAGTAAAGATGGTTCGAAATGATTTCAAGTCGCTTGCGAAGCGGAACCCAACAAGAGTAGCGCGGTACAGAACTACTATGCGCAATGTCGATCACATCATGGCACATCGAACTACACGCAAAATTGGACAAAAACCCAGACCGAAGGACATACGCAAGACTGCACACAACGCAGTGCGTAGACCTATCCGGTAGGACTCTCCATGCGTAGCTCATTACTTACATCTGACTTCCTGTAGATTTGGAGAAAAGCTAATCACCATCTACGCGGGGGGTCAAGGAAAAATACCATTCGTAGTTCACGAAGACTTGCTTTGTTCTAGCTCTGGCCACTTCAAGAAGCTCTTCCAACAAAACCGTAAAGTCATCGAAGGGGAATGTCCGATATGTATTGAAGATCTATCTGGCTTCTTACCACTCTGCTATTGCAGAAGCTGTGGATAAAACTTTCACATGAAGTGTCTTGACGACTGGCTGCAGCGAAAAGCAACATGTCCAGTGTGCCATGTAGACAAACCGATAACCATTGACTTAGTGCAGAGCAGACTCTGGGATGCTGCCAATAGTGAACCTTGGGATGCGTATATGCAGTGGTTGTATACCGGAGTTATTACAGTCCATCTCAAAGACCTCGGCGGCGACGACAGCGCTAAATACTGTCAGCTATTAATGGAGTCATATGAGCTCGGCGAAAGACTCGAGGATGAATTATTCCAAAAAGTAGTGCTAAAGGAGATCGTCGTGGACGTCATGATATCTTCATATGCAATCAGCTATCACAATATCGGACAGGTGTACCAGCTCACGAATGGGGCTTCGACACTTCGCAAAGTAATGGTTGATCTGTACATTGCCCAGACAGACTCAACTAAGCTGGATTTGAAATATCCTCAATAGTTTATCCTGGATATTGCGCGGGCTTTGCTGGCGCGGCAGACGAAACAGAATATGGGTTCAGAAAAGGTGTTGGCAGGAGACAGCTCGGAAGAAGAAGATAATGATGAGAGTTCGGAAGATGAAGATGAAGAAGATGAGAGCTCGGAGGATGAAGATGAACTAACATATGACTTCAGAAATGGAGATAGATCGTATGAGCCAGGAGAGACGGAGGCGGAGGCAGAGGAGGACGAGGACGAGGACGAGGAAAGATAAGTTCCACAGAACTGAGGCACGTCTGAGCTTGGCCATACGAAAAAACCGCCGAGGAATAGAGAACACGGCAGCATAATGCTTGAATACTTAGATCGAGTAGCTTTCTATTCAAACAGACGACACTTATGGAGAAGATGAACAAAAAAGCAATGTGCATTGCCTGAAGATGGGCATCCCACCTAGACGGATCCACTAATGTACAGGCGCTCATACCAAAGAAGCTGTTGCTCATGCGTGATTTACCGGCCCTTCTTGACCCAGTCCTCCAAGCTTTCCCTGGTATCGGCGAGTTTTCCCTCGACGGCACCAACGGTGCCCTGGGCATGTGCCTTTCCAGTCTCGACAAACTGCTGGATACGCTTCTTCATGCGCAGATGTGTGTCTGCAACGACGGGGTATCGCTCCTCATAGGTCCAAATAAGATCACCCACATTCTTGGAAGTAATAGGCAGCACCACGTTGGCAGCAGTAATGCCCACGGCAAGGGGCACAGAGGCGCGGAGTAGTATGTTGCGGTTGCGTGTGACAATGGATCCGGCCATGGAGGCGACAAGCACGTACAGGGCACCGGGCAGGACCTTCTCACCAGACTCTTTTGGTGGGGCTAGCGAACGGATGGTGCTTGTGAAGGAGTGTTCCAGGCGGAGCGTCTCGGTAAGAGCGTTATCGACGGCCTTTTCACCGCGGACGGCCTGCTCGTACAGAGCCATGCGCGCACGACCAATCTGGACAGCCAGTCGATCGGTAGGAGTCGGGCGGTAGACGGGCTCTTCGGAGGGGGCCGAGCGTGATGGTGCTGGTAGAGAGGGGGCAGTAGGAGCGGTGGCATCAATGGGCATATCATCGTAGATTGGCTTGCGGTTCTGTACGCTACGTCAGTACCGAAGGTCGCACGTGCCGTCCAGTAGAAATTTTGTCGTGACTCAAAAATTTATAAGAGATACAGGGCAACAGCACATACCGAGTAGTCCTCCTGGCGCTCTTCTGCGTATACTGAGCGAGGAGCGAAGATTGCCGTGGCCGAGAGGGCAGCCATGGCGGGAACGACGGCGCGCTGTAAGACATCAGACTGCAGCCGTGGGTCATTCAGCAAGTCTACTCACCTGCCGTAACAGCGGTCGGAAAGCCATGTCGGGCGTGGGGCGGGCGCAATGGGTGGGAGACTGGCCGTGATCCAGCTTCTGATGTTGAGCTTCTGAGGATGCGGCAACGGCCGTGCGAGCGCCGCAAGAATCCCGCCCACCCGTCTTCGGCCTGGCCTGGCTATGACATCGTTTGTCTCTCAAGGCCTACCAATCTTCCTTCACTCGTGCCACCACCCACGATGCTCAAGCGGCTTGCGCGCACAAAGCAGCCAACAGCGCCCTGGATCTGCCACCGCTGTCTCCACCAGTCGCAGCGCCAACGACGCTTCAACTCGACTTTTGCTGCTGCTGCCACCGCCCCCTCCAAGCCACGCGACCCTGCGCCGCCACTCCACAGTCTCCCTACCAGTACAAAGACAGATGACGACGCCCTCCGCAAGGTTTTTGACAGCGCCTCGTTCTGGGCGGGCTTCAAACGAACATCGCAAAATGGCCAGCCCGCTGGCATCATCGGCAACAAATACCTTACGCATCCTGAAGGCTTCGTCGACTTTGTTACCATAACCATCCAACGCTGCAATGCCGTTGTGCAAAAGGTGGCAGCGGCGCAGTCGGTCCAGGACTACAAGAACATGGTCAAGGACCTCGACAAGCTCAGCGACCTGCTATGCAGGGTCATAGACTTGGCCGACTTTGTGCGAGGCACCCATCCAGATCGCAAGTTCCAGATCATGGCAGTCAAGGCATACTCGACAGTCTTCCAGTACATGAACCAACTGAACACCACGCCAGTACTATACGACCAGCTGAAAAAAGGCTCAGAGATACCGGAGGTGTACGAGGCTTGGAGCGAGGAAGAGCGCATCGTTGCGAGGATATTGATGGAGGACTTTGCGCGCTTTGGCATTGGGCTGGATGATAAGACACGAGAGAAGCTGGTGGACCTGAGCGGAGAGATTGCTGAAGTTGGAAACCAGTTTGTCGAGGGTATGGCACCAGAGACACTGACTCTACGGTTCAAATCCACGCGGTTAAAAGGGTTGGACCCGAATATGGCAAAGGCTCTGACCAAGTGGGGAGAAACAAAGATTTCCACAATGCATCACGAGGCGCAATCTGTGCTGCGGTTTGTCCAGGACCCAGAGGTGCGCAGAGAGACATATCAAGCTGTCCGCACAGCAAGCAAGCCGAGCATTGCACGGTTAGAGAAGATGTTGAAGCTGCGCGCCGAACTGGCCCAGACATCAGGTTACGAGACGTTTGCGCACATGACGCTCGAGAATAAGATGGCACGGACACCGGAGGCTGTCAATACGTTCCTGAAAGCATTGTATGAGGACAGTCGGCCGGCTGTACTTGCCGACTTACAGGAGTTGACGGAGCTGAAACGAGGAGACGCTCACCGGTCCAACTTTCCAGATCGCATCAATGCCTGGGATAAGTTCTACTACACACAGAAGATGCTTGCGACGATGGAGGGCCATTATAGGCAGCGCACCCCAGATTCACTGTCTGCATATTTTTCTGTCGGTACCGTCCTACAGGGAATATCTCGGCTCTTCGACCGTCTCTACGGCGTACGCTTTGTGCCAAAGGAGACTCAACCGGGCGAGGTGTGGGACGATGGAGTTCGCCGCCTCGATGTCATATCTGATACTGAAGGCCATATTGCGGTACTGTATTGTGACTTGTATTCTCGTCCTGGCAAGACGCCCAACCCAGCGCATTTCACCCTGCGCTGTAGTCGTGAAATTTTACCCTCGGAAATGGAAGAAATGGCCCATATGCAGCACCGCTTCTCTTCGCCCATTGAAGCCGCAACCGATGGCATGCCAGTATCTTACAATGCCCAACGGCAAAGTTATTTCCAATTACCGACTATCGCCCTGATTTGCGACTTCAGCAAAGCGTCTCATTCGCAGCCAACGCTCCTCAACATTCACGATGTACGCACTCTGTTTCACGAAATGGGTCACGCTCTCCACTCTATCCTGGGTCGTACAGCTCTGCAGAACGTCTCTGGTACTCGCTGCGCTACCGACATCGCTGAGCTGCCATCTGTCCTAATGGAACATTTTGCCTTTTGCCCACACGTCCTCTCCCTGTATGCCCGCCACTGGGAAACAGACGCTCCAGTTCCTATGGCTGCCCTTGAGTCCCGCCTCGCAATCGACAATCGAAATCAGCACGCCGAACTCGAATCGCAAATCTTACTTTGCATGCTAGACCAAGCTTACCATTCCCCCATCGCCGCAGACCCAAACTTTGACTCGACCAAGGTTTACCACGATATATATAGTAAGTACGCTTCGGTTCCTGAGCCCGCTGGTACAGCTTGGCAGGGCTTCTTTGGCCACTTGTATGGATACGGTGCTACGTACTATTCTTATCTGTTTGACCGCGCCCTCGCAGCTAAGATCTGGAAGGATGTGTTTCAACACAATGGCCCAGAAGGCAGCTTGGATAGAGAAAACGGTGAGTTGTATAAGAACGAGGTGCTCAGATGGGGTGGTGGAAGAGATGGCTGGCAGTGCCTGGCTGGCGTACTTAAAGATGAGAGGCTAGCGGAGGGCGGCGAGCAGGCCATGCAAGAGGTAGGGAAATGGGGGATCCAGGATACAGGGAAGTAGATGGTACATTGCGAACAACGAACCTTGTATCGTGTGCATAGACTCGCATCTAGACTTTTGTAAATAAACTCCTGGTCAATAAAGTATCCATTGTTGTGGGTTGCAATATGTCTTGCAGACTTATTGGTTCGCTGACCATACCGAACATGGCCGAATGGCTAAAACCATATCATTGAAAACTCCCGAAAGCGTGAACGGTCGAAATTCGCATGGTCGGATACAATTCTGTAGTCGCACCCGACCAAGCATGTGGAGTGTGGAGGTGGATCCTTCGCTGTATGCCGAATCCACGCTAGCCGCTATAGGACGACGCGCTCTTATCGATAAAGTTTTAGAGGTCAGAAAAGTTTTGGTACTCGAAAGGCCATCACTATTCCCACAACGGTCATGTCACAAGAAAAGAGCATGGATTCAAAGGTCCAGAACGGAGAGAAAGGATTAGTAGAACTAAAGAAGGGGAAAAAGAGAAAGAGAGCTCAACCAGCCAAGGATGGCTGGAGTGTTAAAAAAGGCGCCGGCCAACTGACCAAGTTTGATGACTCTGAAGATGATACACCTAATCCCGTTGCAAGTCAAAAGAGCAAGGTTGATGTTGTGGAGAAGACGGAGGTTGCTACGGAATTGGCAACTAGACAGCTTGAGAAGTCTTCCAAGCTGGACACATCGACACAGCCAACAGAGCCCACACCTAAGCGTGAGCAACATTCCAAGGCGAGGAACAAGCAACCACAGCGGTTGCGAAACTCTCAAAAAACTCAGGATATACCGCCTTATCTTCTTCAAAAACGCGACGAGCTGCGATCAGTCAGAAAATCACTTCCTATATGGCCCCAGGCAGATTCCATCCGGGCAGCACTACAGAAGAACAATATACTTGTCCTGACGGGAGAAACGGGTTCCGGAAAATCGACACAGTTACCACAGTTTTTGACCAACGAATCATGGTGTACGGGATGCATAGCAATAACACAACCTCGGAGAGTGGCAGCGATTTCTCTGGCCCGCCGTGTTGCAGAAGAAATGGGCAGCTTACTTGGTGACAAGGGCCCAGCAGCCAAGGTCGGCTACAGTGTCCGTTTTGATAACGCTGTTGGCAAGCATACAAAAGTCAAGTTCCTGACTGAAGGTATGCTGCTTCAGGAGATGCTTAGGGATCCCAACATGTCGCAATACAGTGCAATCGTAGTGGATGAGGTTCACGAGAGGAGCGTGAATGTGGATCTGATTCTCGGATTTTTGAGGAATCTAGTTGCTGATGAGGAAAATAACAAGAAAAGGAAGCATC